AGGCTAGAGTGCAGTGGCACAATCTTGGCTCACTGCAACCTCTACCACCCAGATTCAGATTCTCCTGTCTCATCCACCTGAGTAGCTGGGATTACAGGCACCTGCCACGGGGCCTGGCTAATTTTTGTAGCTTTAGTAGAGACGGGGTTTCATCATCTTGGCCAGGCTGGTCTTGAACTCCTGACCTCATGATCCACCCACCTCGGCATCCCAAAGTGCTGGGATTACAGGCATGAGCCATTGTGCCTGGCCTCTTTTTAATTTCTTAACGTTTCTTGAAATTATCACATCCTATATATCCCTTAATTCATCATAACCCACTCTGTCTTTAACCCTTGAATAAAATTGCCTTTACTAAGTTTACCAATAATTTCTATTGCCAAGTCCAGCAGGTATTTCCCCTATTCCTTAAGGTACTTGAACTCTGCTCCATCTGCACTGTAGATCACTCTTCTAAACACTCTTCCTTCATTCAGTGATCCTATTTTCTCCTTTCCTCCTACTTCCTGGGGACACCTTCTGAGTCTCTTTTGTGAGTACATACTTCTCATTTGCCCCTTAAAAAGGAAGAGAAGATGAGTATAGAGTTCCACAGGAGCCACTCTGGGCCCTTAACACTTTACTTGTTGTATTTACCCTAGTGACCATGCTCACCGTCCCTCCTACCTTTACCACTCATAGAATGATGGTTCCCCCTTTTTTTTTTTTTTTTTTTTTTTTTTTTTTTTTTTTTTTTTGAGATGGAGTCTCCCTCTATCACCCAGGCTGGAGTGCAGTGGTGCAGTCTTGGCTCACTGCAACCTCTGCCTCCTGGGTTCAAACGATTCTCTAGCCTCAGCTTCCTGAATAGCTGGGACTACAGGCATATGCCACCACACCTGGCTAGTTTTTGTATTTTTAGTAGAGACAGGGTTTCACCATATTGGCCAGGCTGGTCTCAAACTCCTGACCTTGTGATCTTCCTGCCTCAGCCTCCCAAAGTGCTGGGATTAAAGGCATGAGCCACCGTGCCCGATGGTTCCCACATTTTGATCTCCAGCCAAGATTCTGACGAGTTCACTTGCCTATACAACAAATCCATGCCTGTACATTAACTCATCATCTTTATATTCCATAGCATTGCTCCCCAGGTTCCCTCAGAGTGACCCTGCCAGGCAGCCATTGTCACCAGCAAGGTCTCTCTCTTCCTCAGGTCCCAAGTTCAACTCATCATCTTTATATTCCAAAGCACTGCTCCCCAGGTTCCCTCAGAGTGACCCTGCCAGGCAGCCATTGTCACCAGCAAGGTCTCTCTCTTCCTCAGGTCCCAAGTTCAAGCAATCTTCAAGATCTGTGTGTTCTTTGCCTTTCTCTTACCTGGTTCTCCTCTTCTCCTTTCCTACTGCCACCTAGTTCAGGCTTCGTTCTCAAAACAGCAATGATGACAATGACAATAATGATGGTAGTAACAAAAGGTGCAAGGGTCTCAAGGTGTTCTCTCTCCTCTGGTGGAGACCTCTCTGACTCTAACCTAGTCCTCCACCCTGCTTTTGGGATCTAGCTAAAACACACAGTGGATCATATCACTCTTCACTTTAAAATCATTCCAATGGCTCACTACAACTTTTAAGGATGCAACTGAAATTCCTCTGCTTGACATCCAAATCCTGTTGAGCCTCTGCTACCTCTCTAGCTTTCTTTCCCTTCACCCATCACCAATGCTCTCTACATCACCAAACTGAACTGAGTGCAGCCTTCTCCTTTCTGCAATGATAGAAAAGGCCTGCATTCGAGTCATCCACCATGGGAGCCACCACCTAGCTAAGGCTACTAAGCACTTGCAATGTGGCCGGTGTCAATAAGAAAGTGAATTTTTTTTATTTATTTATTTTTCAGGAACTGCCCAGGCAAAGCCTTTCTTTTTTTTTTTTTTTTTTTTTTTTGGTCAGCCACTCAAGACAAAGTCAGTTTCATTCTTCTCCTTAGTGGCTATTGGTAAAAAGTCCGTTTCTTAGTTGTAGATAAGGAAACTGTGCTACTGGGCTAGGGGAATCCTGACCTTACACAAACAGTGCTGACACATTCTGGTCAACAGTAAAATATCTATTTATCTCTTCCACCTATACTGCTTATTTAAAAAAAAAAAAGAAAAGAAAAGAAAAAGAAAGAAAGAAAGAAAAAAAAAAAAAGAATGAAGGAGAGGAAGAAAGAGAAAGAGGAAGAGGGAGGGAGAACAGGGGTGTTGCTTTATTGCCCGGGCTAGAATGCAGTCTAAAAATGGGTATCCCTATTATTGTGATTACTAATAGAGACATGAAAAAAAAAAAATGAGGGAAGAAAATAACAAACAAGCAGCCAACCAATATTTCATTGAAACCTGTAAATAGATGTGATGTGGTACTGATAAGAGTGTATATTTTGTGTATTTAAAGTGGAGAGTTCTATAAATGTTAATTAAGTTTACTTGTTCCGGATCTGAGTTCAGATCTGGATATGGTAATTTTCTGTCTCATTGATCTGTCTAATATTGATGTCGAAGTCTCCCACTATTATTGTGTGGGAGTCTAAGTCTCTTTATAAGTCTTATATATCTGGGTATTCCTGTATTGGGTGCGTATATATTTAGGATCTTTAGCTCTTCTTGTTGCATTGATCCTTTTATCATTATGTAATATCCTTCTTTGCTTCTTTTGATCTTTGTTGCTTTAAAGCAACTCCTGCTTTTTATTTATTTATTTTTGCTCTCCATTTGGTTGGTAAATCTTTCTCCATCCCTTTGTTTTGAGTCTTTGTGTATCCTTGCATGTGAGATGGGTCTGGATGCAGCATACCGATGGGTTTTGGCTTTTTTTGCCTGTCTGTGTCTTTGGATTAGGGGATTTAGTCGATTTAAATTTAGAATTAATATATGTGAGTTTAATACTGTCATTTAATGTTAGCTGGCTGTTTTACCTATTAGTTGATAGAAATTCTTGATTATGTTGATGCTCTTTACTTTTTGGTATTTTTTAGAAAGGCCGATACTGGTTGTTCCTTTCTATTTGTAGTGGTTCTTTCAGAAGCTCTTGTAAAGCAGGCCTGGTGGTGATGAAATCTCTGAGTGCTTGCTTGTTCACAAAAGATTTTATTTTTCCTTCGCTTATGAAGCTTAGTTTGGCTGGATGTAAAATTCTGGGTTGAAAGTTCTTTTCTTTAAGGATGTTGAATATTGGCCCCCACTCTATTCTAACTTGTAGGGTTTCTGCTGAGAGATCTGCTGTGAGTCTGATAGGCTTTCCTTTATGGGTAACCTGACCTTTCTCTCTGGCTGCCCTCCGTATTTTCTCCTTCATTTCAACCCTGGTGAATCTGGCGATTATGTGCCTTGAGGTTGGTCTTCTTGAGGAATATCTTTGTGGTGTTCTCTGTATTACCTGGAGTTGAATATTGTCCTGCCTTGCTAGGTTGGTAAAGTTTTTCTGAATAATATCCTGAAGCATATTTTCCAGCTTGGACTGATTCTCTTCATCACATTCAGGTATACCTATCAAGCATAGGAAGAGAGATCCAAGTTGGCTGATCACTAGCGGCTCGGGATTGTAGCTCCCAGTGAAAGTGCAGAGAACGAGCGGACACCACACTTTCAAATGAATTTTTGTTGCTCACGCACCAGGAGATTCCCAGCGGAGGAGCCCCACGGGTCGCCAGCACGACTCTTGTGGCCGGCGAAGCGGTTTTGCTGCTTCCTTGGTGCGGCGGTTCTTGGTACAGAGTCAGAAAAGCACCATCAATCATAACGCCACTGTTTTGGCCAGCGCAGTGGGTTGCTCAGATTTTAGTGCTGGGAATCAACAAGTTGGACGTCTACTCAGAAACCCAATTATAAAGACAGTAATTATAAAGACCACAGATGGATAAATCTATAAAGAAGGGAAGAAAACAGCCTAAAAAGGCTGAGAATACCCAAAATCAGAACGCCTCTCCCTCTACAGGGGTTCACAGTTCCTCATCAGCAACGGAACAAGGCCTGATGGAGAACGAGTGTGTTCCATTAACAGAAGCAGGCTTCAAAAAGTGGATGATAAGAAACTTCTGTGAATTAAAAGAACTTGTTCTAACCCAATGCAAAGAAACTAAGAACTTTGAAAAAAGGTTTGACGAAATGTTAATAAGAATTCACAATTTAGAGAGGAATATAAGTGAATTAATGGAGCTGAAAAACACAACATGAGAACTTCGCGAACTATGCACAAGTTTTAACAGCTGAATCGATCAAGCAGAAGAAAAGATATCAGAAGTCGAAGACCAACTTAATGATATAAAACGAGAAGACAAGATTAGAGAAAAAAGGAACGAGCAAAGTCTCCAAGAAATATGGGACTATGTGAAAAGACCTAAAGAAAGTGAATTTTAAAATTCACTTTTTTCTTCGGCAAAATAAAATTGCTGTTTATTGCTGGACAGTATTGTTTCACACATATATCAAACAGACCAAAAAAAGCAAACAGACAAAAAAGGAAAAAAAAAAAGAAACCTTTTACGTTTGACCTTATTAACCATAAGGTTACCTTTGAGTAGCGCTCAAACCAACTACTTATAGTAGAGCTAAGTACATACACAAAAAAGTTACTGGAATGCTTGGAATAAGATTTTTTTCTGTTGTCGTTTTTGCTTATTTTACAAGGCTTTTTTTCTCCTTTGAGATTATAATGAACATGGTCACACAAGTCAGAAGTAGGACAGAGAATGCTCCAAAGGCTGGTTTGGTCATCTGACATTATTAAATGGCTGACCCTAAGAATATGTACAAAAATATAAAATGTAAATAAAAAATACAAATTTCCTTTCTAAAGTACTTAAAAATAAAAAAGCAGGGCTTTGGAAGTTTTGGTTCTTTTTTCCTCCCTTGTTGCAAACTCTCATGGTTTGGGCTGGGTGGTCATCTGCAGGTGACACTGCCCACAGCAGGTGGGCTTCTCTACTCAAAGGTAACCACTTTTAGATTCTGAGATGGAGTAAAGGGTGAATAGGTCACACAGCCTTTTTTTTTTTAGTTTGACTTTTCCTTTCTTGCTGTCTAGTCATCGTCATCGGTCTTCTGCTTCTTGGTATCGACATCGTCAAGCTCATCATCTTCAGCTGCCCACTTGCCTACAGCAGACTCAGCTTCCTCTTCCTCACTATCACCTTCTTCTTCATCCTGTTCCTCCCCACCTTCTTCCTCTCTTTCATCTACCTCATTGACAACCTCCTGCTCCCCATTTTCCTCATTATCATTTCCATTAACAGGGGTATCTCTTCCATTTGCCGCCTCTTCCACAACTTCCTCCTTCTCCTTAAGTCCTTGGGTGGTGATTTCGAAGCTGTTATCTACAGCTGCATCTGACATGGTAGGGCAAGCCAGTGATCCAATGCAGGGGATTAAAAAGAAAGTGAGAGTTCAGGGACTCTGGAGATAAAGCTGCTGGAGTCCGTGGTGGCTGAGGTGGCTGGCTGTGAGCACATAGTCGGACAGAGGAGCAACAATGTAAAGATGACTTTTCAGAGCAGCCAGTGGGGCAATTCACTTAATCTTAACAAATTTAAATGTAAATGGCCACGGAGAGCTAGAGAATTCCTTCAGTGGCTCATGCTTCTATGACTTCGGGTACAGAAATTCTTGTGCTTACAGTATCATTCTTTCACTAATTCATCTTGCAAACTTTCTTCAAAACTCAGCTCAAACAATCCCCTATTCTGAGTGCTTAGTCTAATTTTGATGTTCCCTATTCACATTCCCATAAGCAATGAAGACACATATACATATGCTTCTAGCAATGATTGAGTTACCTACCTCTTCTCCATACAATTAAATCAAAACCGCTTAATGTTAGGGACCTGGCCATCTCATTCATTAGTATAAACCAGGACATCACACAAAGTATTCAATAACTGTTATAAAATGAATACATAGGCCAGGTGCCATGGCTCACGCCTGTAATCCTAGCACTTTGAAAGGCCAGGGCAGGCAGATCAGGTCAGGAATTCAAGGCCATCCTGGTCCACATGGCAAAACCCTGTCTCTACTAAAAATACAAAAATTCGCTAGGCGTGGTGGCTCACTCCAGCTACAAGGGAGCCTGAGGCAGGAGAATCACTTGAACCCGGGAGGCAGAGGTTGCAGTGAGCTGAGATCACACCACTACACTCCAGCCTGGGTGACACAGCAAGACTCTGTCTCAAAAATAATTAAATAAATAGGTAGGGCGAGGTGGCTCACGCCTGTAATCCCAGCACTTTGAGAGGCTGAGGCAGGCAGATCACCTGAGGTCAGGAGTTAGAGACCAGCCTGACCAACATGGAGAAACCCCATCTCTACTAAAAATACAAAATTAGCCAGGTGTGGTGGTGCATGCCTACAATCCCAGCTACTTGGGAGGCTGAGGCAGGAGAATTGCTTGAACTCAGGAGACAGAGGCTGCAGTGAGCCAAGATAGCAACATTGGACTCCAGCCTGGGCAAGAAGAACAAAACTCTGCCTATAATTAAATAAATCTTCAAGATTTACCATCTAAATAGCATTTAATTTCTAGTCAGTATCAATAATTAAAAGAGCAATTTGGAGTTTTTTATTGTTCATAATTTTTTGGTTTTGGGGGGCCTACAATTCTTCTGGAATAAAGTAGCAGCTAAATATTTACATGAGAATGTAAAAAAGACAATGTTACATTGCACGCCTGTGTATATCAAGCCTCTGTATGATTCTACACCAGTCCTAGGAACGGGACACATGTATGAAATCATCTTATTTTTGGCAGTTTATGTTAAATATAAGGTCCCATCAAACCATCCCATTTTCTGATCCCACTAACTAAAAATTATATACAAATGTTCCTACTTTCTTTTTTTCCCCTGCTTTCCACTTCATTTCCATTTTTTTAAAAGCCTTCCTAAAATGGTGTTTATTGGTTGGTTGGTTGGTTTTTGAGACAAGGTCTCTCTGTACCCAGCCTGAAGTGCAGTGGAGCAATCACAGCGCACTGCAGCCTCGAACTCAGGGGCTCAAGCGCCCAGCTAATTTTTTATTTTTTGTAAAGAGGGGATTTCACCCATGTTGCCCAAGCTGGTCTCGAACTCCTGGGCTCAAGCAAACCTCCCACCTTGGCCTTCCAAAGTCCTTCCAGGTGCAAGCAAGCATACCCAGCTGACCTTACCTTTTTTTTTTTTTTTTTTTGGAGACAAAGTCTCACTCTGCAGTAGCACAATTTCAGTTCACTGAAACATCCACCTCCCAGGTCCAAGTGATTCTCCCACCTCAGGCTTCCAAGTAGCTGGGATTACAGGCACACACCACCACACATGACTAATTTTTTAATTTTTAGTAGAGACAGGTTTTCTCCATGTTGGCCAGGCTGGTCTCAAACTCCTGACCTCAAGCAATCCACCCACCTTAGCCTCCCAAACTGCTGGATTACAGGCATGAGCCAGTGAGCCTGGCCTAACCTTACTTTTTAAAGAACTCTAATAAATAAGACATTTTAAAAAGGATATGTTTATGCCAGTGACTTATTTTGAGATGGAGTCTCACTCTGTCACCCACACTGGAGTGTAGTGGCGCGATCTCAGCTCACTACAGCTTCTCCCTCCGAGGTTCAAGTGATTCTCCCACCTCAGCCTCCTGAGTATCTGGGATTATAGGCACATGCAGCCATGCTCAGCTAATTTTTGTATTTGAAAAAAACACCGAGACACAGGGTTTTGCCATGTTGGCCAGGCTGGTCTCAAATTCCTGACCTCAAGGGATCCACCTGCCTGGGACTTCCAAAGTGCTGGGATTATAGGCGTGAGACACCATATCCGGCCATATTGTATTTTTTTTTTTTTTTTTTTTTTTTAGACGGAGTTTCGCTCTTGTTACCCAGGCTGGAGTGCAATGGCGCGATCTCGGCTCACCGCAACCTCCGCCTCCTGGGTTCAGGCAATTCTCCTGCCTCAGCCTCCTGAGTAGATGGGATTACAGGCACGCACCACCATGCCCAGCTAATGTTTTTGTATTTTTAGTAGAGACGGGGTTTCACCATGTTGACCAGGATGGTCTCGATCTCTTGACCTCGTGATCCACCCGCCTCGGCCTCCCAAAGTGCTGGGATTACAGGCTTGAGCCACCGCGCCCGGCCCATATTGTATTTTTTTTAAAGAGTACATATAATTTCAGAATGGGAACTCTGATTTGCTGCAAATAAAGATACTTAATTAGGCCCGGCACAGTGGCTCACGCCTGTAATCCCAGCTACTCAGGAAGATGAGGCAGGAGAATCGCTTGAACCCAGAGGTGAAGGTTGCAGTGAGCCCAGATTGTGCCATTGTACTCCAGCCTGGGAAACAAGAGTGAAACTCTGGGGAAAAAAAAAAAAAAGATACTTGATTAGGATTTTTTTTTTAATAGAGGCAGGTTCTTACTATGTTGCCAAGGCTGGTCTTGAACTCCTAGGATCAAGCAATACTCCTGCCTCAGTAAAAATAGGTTTGTCGCCGGGCGCGGTGGCTCACGCCTGTAATCCCAGCACTTTGGGAGGCCGAGGCGGGTGGATCACAAGGTCAAGAGATCGAGACCATCCTGGTCAACATGGTGAAACCCCGTCTCTACTAAAAATACAAAAAATTAGCTGGGCATGGTGGCGTGTGCCTGTAATCACAGCAACTCAGGAGGCTGAGGCAGGAGAATTGCCTGAACCCAGGAGGCGGAGGTTGCGGTGAGCCGAGATCGCGCCATTGCACTCCAGCCTGGGCAACAAGAGCGAAACTCCGTCTCAAAAAAAAAAAAAAAAAATAGGTTTGTCCACCAGAGTTTTTAACATCTAAAAAGACTTTCTCTCTGTCCTGCCTCTCTTCACTCCTCCAGTTAGTTCTACATTCACCTACTCTTTGGCAGCCCTAGCCTGGCTCCTATTTTGTTCTCCTCTTTCAACCAACAAAAACCTCCAAATGTTCTCTCCAGTCAAAGAAAATTTCCAGTTCAACATCCTCCCTGCTGGCCTCTCATCCCTCCGTCACACTACCATCCCACAGGCTCCTTTATGTTTGCTCTCCCAAAATTAGATTCTTCTCTGTTGTTCTTTTCTCTAGCACAAGCTTGCTTTTCATATCACATTGTGTCAAGTATATGGTTTATAATAATGGCCACAATTTATAGAGAATTTGCGATGGCTAGGCACTTCCCACATACTACTACCAGGAGCCTGCAAACAAAGGTTAATCAAGCCTGTGGTCCAGATGAGGGCTCCGTGGCCCACCTCTCTAACTGACTGGCCCAAAGTCACTGAGCGGGCAAGCAGGAGGGCTAGGATTGGTGACAGTGTGCCTGGCTCTTAATTTTTTAGTTCACAAGAATGTAACATAAGACTTATTAACATAATCTCCATTATCTATTTGGTATGAATTTGCAGGGCTGTGTAAGAAAGGTTTGCTGCCAGTTTTGAGACTTGTCGGTTTGCAACAGGCTACATGTGCACCTGCTTTACCTAACAGTTGACACTTCCTGCATTATATACTATGTGCCACACACTGCATGCAGTAATTGCTTGCACTCACTTATGCCTGAAGAACCCTATGAGGTAGGTAAATTGCACTCACTTGACATACAAAAAAAAGGTGTCCTAGTTCATAAGACAGGTAAGGGACGTGGAGGCTCCAAGCCCCATCCACTTAAACCTCTGAGATGCTTCACTTTTATGGCTCCCCTACCTTTCTGCCAGCGGAATTCAAGAAATGCAAGTCTGGGGCTGAGTGCCATGGCTCACACCTATAATCCGAATACTTTGGGAGGCCAAGGCAGGCAGATCACTTGAGGTCAGGAGTTTGAGACCAGCTTGGCCACCATAGTGAAACCCCGTCTCTACTAAAGATACAAAAAAATTAGCTGGGTGTGGTGGCATGCACCTGTTGTCCCAACTACTTGGGAGGCTGAGGCTGGAGAATTGCTTGAACCCAGGAGGCGGAGGTTGCCAAGATTACGCCACTGCACTCCAGCCTGGGTGACAGAGCAAGACTCCATCTCAAAACAAACAAACAAACACCTAAGAGGAGAGCTAGGTAAAACCCTGGGAGAGTAGAGTAGGAAGAAGTGACTAGAGTGATCAGAAGGCCTCGGGATTAGGAAGAAGTACTGAGATGGCAGGGAACACAGCCATGAAGAAAATGACTTGGGAGGTTCAGGGAAAGGAAGAGGTTTGAGTAGAAGCCACCTTAGAGGGCCAGAAATCATGATTAAGAGAATTTAAGTCAGAGAAATCTGGCTCAGAGGTGACTCCTCCATCAGTAGAAATTCCACATACAAAAAAATCCAAGCTCACGTCTACTGCATTCAGACAAAATAAGTATCTACTGCCTAACCACCTGTAATGGTTACTCTTTGTTTACAAGTATCATCACCAAAACACCATACGGTATAAAAAGGCGATAGTACTGTACTCACTGTTTAGAGGAAAATGGCCCAGAGAGGTGGCATTTCTTGCTGAAGCTTACACAGTAACATATGGGCAGAGGTCCAAATACAGGTCCCTTTGACCCAAATATAACGCTTTCTCCCAAACCTCAGCTGCATTAGTAAACATTATGCATAAAAAGAATATCCACAGCATATGTGCATGTTCCATTTGAGAACAGATGTAATAGCACTAACTCTGAAATTCCTTTTAATAAAACCAGAACTTACTGGTGGAGAAGCAAAACGACAAGATGGAGAGCCGACACAGGAGCTTCCAGAGACAGAACCAGAATACACGGGCACTGGAACTGGGCAAGCTGGGGGAAGAAACACAAATGAACTACATCATTTTGTAGTGCAGTCACATGACCTGTATAATAGAAAAACCTGCCAAAACTACCACACCTTTGTGTTCCCCCCAAATTTGCATTCACCTACTTATTATCATAGCTGATAAAACTAAAAATGCAGCAATTACTAAAACTATTCCAACTTCATTTTAGAAGGAAAAATAGAACTATTATTATAAACACAATCCTAAGTATCTAAGAAAATC